AAATATTTTAAGTTTTGTACAAATTAATTAAAATTCAAATTAAAACTAACTACATTTTATTATTAAAATATTACTAGTGCACTTTTAATAGAAACAACTACTCTATCTACAAATATATAAAATCATTTTGTAAATATATTACTAGTATATTATACTAACTATGATATACTAACTATGATATACTAACTTATACAGTATTATACTTTTACAGTAAAATAAACTAAAATACTTTTCTAAATGTTAACACAGATTTTATCCAATTAAAAACTTAAATAACTTCTTTTAATTAGTTACAAGAATTTTTATAGACATCTCAAATAACAAAAATAAATAACTTCTCACATAAAATCAGCAATTATAAAAGTTATTTAAATTCATAAAATTATTTTATTTGAAAAGTGTATTGGATTAAATTAACTAAAACATAAAGAATTATCTCAAAATACTTTAATATTAAATATTATCCTAATAACTGAAATATATAGTTTTATACATTAATAGGAAAATACAATTTTTGAAACTTAAATAAAAAAGTATTGACAAACAAACTAATTGCAATATTTGCAATATTTTATACGAATACATGTATACCGACAAAATATTTATATAATATTCTCTTGTAAACTGAATTTAAGTAAAATTCAGTATAGAATAGCATAGAAAATAATGAATTGAGTTTTTGTTGACATTTATGATTGAATCAAATGATTAATCGGTAGATATTTTATATGAATTTGTATGTATGAGTGACCACATAACTTATTGTGATTATATTTAAATTGATCAAATGCTTGAAATGTATTATAAAAATCATAAATAATTAAATTTTCAAATGAATTTTTAATTAATTAATTAATTTTTATTATAATTATTATTGAATATTATTGGGTGACATTCATTTATATTATTAAATATAAAAATTAAAACAAATTATTAGTTAGTTACAGTTAGTACAGTATTATAACCTTTATGAACTTGTTACTAATTTGAGACTAAATAATAAATGTTGAGCTAATCCTGACTTACTTTAAATAGATATAACAAAACTCAACATTACTTATAAATGTAATTCTGTTTATTCCATTACATATACAGTATTTGATTGTTAGCCATATTTCAGTATATATTCCCATATGAATTGTGTGTGTGTGTGTGTGTGAGAGAGAGAGAGATAAAAATTCACATTATTATAATATATCTCAATATAATTAATTTATTTATTTACATTTTATTAAATTGTTGTTTGAATGGAAAGTTTTAAGGAGAGAGAGAGATGTTCATATTTTTGATATTCTATTGGCAAATTCAATTTATCTAATTGGATATAAATTACAATAAATTACTTTTAAACTCTTAAACTGAACATTTGTGTGTTTAAATAAAATCAATAACTAATTATAAAAATATGAAATATAATATTATGAATTGGCTTTTCAATAAAAATTTAATATGACATACTTGCTTGTTAATTTAATTAAAAACATAAAATAATTACATATTAATTGAAAGTTGTTTTTGAGTATAGAGACTAACTTTTCACTCATACCTTGCGTTTCAAAGTGATCAGTTTTGATCAGTGAGTTATTCTTAGCTTTACTGAATACTATATTTTAATATTTGATGAGAGGTTATGGAAAATATATAATATTAATACTAACCATTGACTACAAAAAATCATCTCAACATAATCCTAAGTTATTTTTACTAATTTTAATTTTACATTCATATCTTAATGATAATATAATGACTAGTGTAAAATAATTTTTAAAACCTTAATTTTCGTGATCCTTCTCTCATATTATGTTTCGTGTAATGTTAATTGACCAGTATCAGTTGTAGCTAAAATTACAACCTTTTAAATAGATTAAATGTGTTGCAGATCACTGGTTTACGGGTTAGGACTTTAACACAGACCATAAATTTATTAGTTTATAAATGCAAAATAAATTACATAATATATGAATATTGTATAATAAATAATTATACAATATATTTAAGTCACTCATTCATTAATTGAAATACTAGTACATACCTGTATACAGTATGCGAGTGAACAACAACTATATCCTAAACAGTGTTATTCTTGCATATTATTTGAATTATTAATATTATTCAATTAGATAATTGAAATTTCATAATATTAATAAGAATTTAATAAATTATAAATGTAGTCAAAAATGATTTTAAAATAATTTTATCTAATAAATAAACATTCATATTAATTGTTTGTAGAATATGTAAAATAAGCATCAAAATCACAAAAGGAATTAAATTTTCAGACAAACAATATAAAATTTATATAAAATAGTATTTCTTTATAATTAGATGTTTATATTTAATTCGTTTTCACTTTGTTATTGTGATAATTGGATTTCATATGAGATTGTATTAAACCAAATGCTTTAGAATTTTACTTTGTTTTTGAATACTGTAAATCAAATAATGAACATTTATAAATGACTCTTTAAACGGACGAATAATTTCTAGAAATTCAATTAAACCAAATAATATTAAAATTTTTAAGGAGAGAGAGAGAGAGAGAGAGAGAGAGATGGAGTTGAATATTGTAAAAGCAATCAACAATGAGTTAATAGTATTCTGGTCTAGATTTTAAATACTGTAAGTCGTCCATTCATTGATTTATTTACTAAACTTATATAACTGAAAAGTCATCCCTAGAATGACTGCTTATGTTATATGTTGTGTACTGTTCTCATGTCAGACCTATTAACTTATGCCTTACTTGTACTCTGTATAGAGTACTGTACTGTAGAGTACAATATGTTTTTGACATCTTTCTCTGATATCAAACACATAACCACTTAAATCGCAAACTCTTTTAATTATTATATGATCTGCTTTATATTAAAAACCCTCAATAACAGGTCAATTGCTTAAATACATTTATGCGAATTACTTATTACTAAAATGCTTTAATCTTAAACTAATTAATTTTTTATGTAATTCTCAGACGTTGTATGGTTTATAATAATTATTAGTATAACTATAGATACAATTTCAATTTTTAAAATATTAAAATCATTAAAATTTAACAAAAATAAAAGTTCAGTCTAGTTTTAATGATGTTAATAATAGAAAGATATTTGTCCATTAATTATTGAAGTTTTATTTGTAAAAATATCAAAACTTTATGGATTACTTAGAAAATGATAAATCGAGTAACAATTGATTATCATTTTGAATCAATATTTAATTACATGATTGATGATTATATTATTGTATATGTACAGTAATAATAGTGCAGTCATTATAACTCTTTTATTTTGTTTTTATTAATAGTTATTTAGATTTATAAGTCTTCAATTAATTTGGAATTCAATTAATACATTACTAAATACATTATATAAACGGTTTAATCAAATTAACATTAGTGTCTATACTAAATATACAATTAGTAAATACTAGTAACTAGTTTATAAACGATAAATACTGTAATTGTATTTAATTAATTTTCAATGTGTTATACTGTATTATATGGGCATTATATAATATTTGTATGTAACAATTAAATTTTATAATTAATTATGTAATTTTAATCAATTAATATGAATATGCAGCTTTGAGCAGAATCAATACTAATTAAATACTATAATTTTAACTATTAAATAATATTAAATTTTAAAAATAATTTGAATTTATAACTTATGATTAGAATACATAATAATTGATTTCATATTGAAAACCTTGTTTATTATTCACTGACTCTAAAGGAGTGATTCACAGATTCAGATGTAATAGTTTTCACAATTTATAAGAAGTCAAGCCTTAAGTCTTAAGATATCTCTAAAGAGTGGAGACTTAGCACATCTCATCATTTATTGGAAAGACAGTCAATAAAAGTACTGAACATTGACTTAATATAGAAAAATAGCACAAAAACTCTTTGACTATTCTTTAGCGTTAAAAAGTTGTGATTCTCTGCATTTGCATACCATTTGTATTATTTTAAATAAAGTATACGTCAAATCAAAATCTCTGAATAATAATCACTTCTATTCATCTCTAAACCCAAAGGGAAGTAACACTTAAAGCATGGCTTCACTCCTTATTACGGATACACTCTCTAAACATTTCAATCACTTTCTATTGCTTTCTTTTAGTCAACTATTGATGAATAACTTAAATAAATTTTATAATTTTGTTGTTGACAAACAATTCAAATTTAGCACTTGGTTTTAATTAATGTTCATGACGACTTTTCAACAAGTTTTATAAAAATATAACCTAAAATATTAGTTATGATCAATTTCTATATTTTAATGAATTGCAAAAATTGTACATAATTAGTTTACGACGACTGAATTTATTATAAGTTATAACAATGTTTAAACATATAAACAATTAATAATTATTAACCAAATATTTATTTTTTTACTCAATCTATTTTTAATATTAAAATAATTATATTCTAGCACTTTACTTATATCAAATCTTAATTCTGAATACTAAGACAATTGTTTTAACAATAGGCATTCATTTTAAAAACAATAATAATTATACCATTAATAATATCCAAGCATTAATAGCCAACAATAATTAAATCTTAAATCTTATATATTATATAATTAATTGACACAAATGACTAAATATTAATTTTAGGCAATTATGTCGATACAAATACGTCAAATCAAAATCTCTGAATAATAATCACTTCTATTCATCTCTAAACCCAAAGGGAAGTAACACTTAAAGCATGGCTTCACTCCTTATTACGGATACACTCTCTAAACATTTCAATCACTTTTTATTGCTTTCTTTTAGTCAACTATTGATGAATAACTTAAATAAATTTTATAATTTTGTTGTTGACAAACAATTCAAATTTAGCACTCGGTTTTAATTAATGTTCATGACATTTCAACAAGTTTTATAAAAATATAACCTAAAATATTAGTTACGATCAATTTCTATATTTTAATGAATTGCAAAAATTCTACATAATTAGTTTACGACGACTGAATTTATTATAAGTTATAACAATGTTTACACGTATAAACAATTAATAATTATTAACCAAATATTTATTTTTTACTCAATCTATTTTTAATATTAAAATAATTATATTCTAGCACTTTACTTATATCAAATCTTAATTCTGAATACTAAGACAATTGTTTTAACAATAGGCATTCATTTTAAAAACAATAATTATACCATTAATAATATCCAAGCATTAATAACCAACAATAATTAAATCTTAAATCTTATATATTATATAATTAATTGACACAAATGACTAAATATTAATTTTAGGCAATTATGTCGATACATGCAATGAGACGGCATCATTGGGACAGGCAGTGGATTTGGTTCAAAATAATAACATTATAGCATTTATAGGGCCGGCATGTAGTGATGATCTCCAGGTTTCAATATTTTAGGCAATTATGTCGATACATGCAATGAGACGGCATCATTGGGACAGGCAGTGGATTTGGTTCAAAATAATAACATTATAGCATTTATTGGGCCGGCATGTAGTGATGATCTCCAGGTTTCAATTGATACATTGATTATTTGATTAGCATAGTAATTGTTGGTACCATTAAATGATTATATAATTATAATTGCAATCATAAGGTTGTGGGACGTCTGGCATCATATAAGGGAATCCCATTATTGACGGGTTTAGGTGATGTGATTAGTGGCGAGCGATCCACTTATAGCACATTGATTCGGGCCTCATATGACCTCTGGGATGAGGCCCGGGCTATACTGGCCTTCCTATCACACCTCAATTGGCATCACTTCGGACTGATCTACCGTCAGGGGGACGTCTACTACCAAACACTTGCCGAGCAATTGCTTAATTTGTTGACTAAACCAGAATATTCCCGTAGTTTCGAGTGTACGTGCAAAGAGGTGTACGTCAGGGACATCAATAAAACCATTTTGACTGATTTGGACAAAGTTATTGATCACATGACTCATTGCGCCAGAAGTAATCATTTATTTATTAATACAGTGTATTATATACAATCAAATTGTTTATATAATTTTTAAATCACCATTATAAAAATATTCTTACTAATGAGAATTTAAGACTGTTTGCATTTACTGGTAAAGCAATTGATAGGCTTTCTGTTAGACATATCTCTGAAGGCATAAACTTAAATTACCTATCATACATTCATAGGATTAATAACCTATAGTTCATAACCAAATATTGTATTCAGAGATAGTTGTGTCTTACAGAAAGTCTATCAATTATAGAGTTATCAGATCAGATATATTAGTTATTGTGCTCGTGTGAATTTAACAAACATATTTGAATTAATGTTTGAAATGATTGCTGTCATCGGAAACAGTTATAGTGATAATTGGAGGGGAGATAGAGGTGCGGGCGATGATGAGGATCGCTCACAACAGAAAGATCACTCACTCGGGAGAGTATGCCTTCATTCATACCGAACTCATTTTAGGCGAAGCCATTGGCAATACTTCATGGGCTGGTGGTTCAGGTATGTGATCATTACACGCCCGCGCATTCACGTTATAAGTTTGTAATTTATTGAAATAATCTTACGTAATACTAGATATTATAGTATTTAATTAAGAATCTCTCTCTCATTATATCATTTTGTGAAATATTTCATAAATTATTAATTTGTAATAATAAATCATTTTTAACAATAATTATTGGATTCTCTTTAATATAATCTCCAAATGATTAATGAATTCTTTGGATTAATGAATATTTTGTTTGTTTTACAAATTCAATAAAAAACTATGAATTCAGAGATTGAGAGATAAACGAGACTTTCAATAAAAATCTATTTTAACATAAATATAAATATATTTCTAATATTCAATTTATATTTTGAATTTAAAGTATCAATATAACTATAGCAACTTATTAGATGAATAAGATGCAATATGTATTTATATCTCTAACACGAGTCATAAAACA